AAGTACAGAGGGTTCTTTTGGCACCAAGCGGTCGCATTCGGTAATCCACCATCGCCACCACTACTACCATGCAGAAGTGCAAGTGCAAAGCAGGCACGACTGTCGAAAGTACACGGTGGTACATCGATAGTCTGATCGTTGACCATCGGCCGAATCTTTACGAGAGATGACTCGCTCCAGGTGCGCGTGGGCGCGGTGCGATGGGCAAATTTAAAGACAAACGGGCAAGTCGCGCACGCGATCGTTCGGGGTGGTTTCGGGCAGCGGGAGCAGCCTGTTGCATGCCCGGCATCGGGGGTTGCTGACGTCATTTCCACCACCGTGTTCCAGCCGAACGGGTGGCGGGTGCGGTGGGGAGACGAGCTAGCAGGGGCGTCGATGGTGGTGGGACAGGGGGGCAACGTAACGTTCGGAGGGCGTGCTTGACAAAGGCGTGGTTACCGTGTCCCCACCCAACAATAAACAAGCGACTCTGACGTTAATTTGTTTGTTTTGCCCTTCTCCACCTAGCTCTTTCTCGCCGCTTCGCCATTCTCCCTTCCTCGCTCGTGTGTCGCCGATTTATCTCCCTCTCTCTCTCCCTCCCTTTCTCTCTCTCCCTCTCTCTCTCTCTCTCTCTCGCTCCCTCTCTCGCTCTGTCTCTCTTTCTCTTATCTTCTCTTTCACTGCCTCTTTCTCCTTCCAACCTTAGCCGAGGTCTTTCGCCCCTTCTCACTTTTCTCTTCACCTTCTTCGGCTACCTGCTCGTGCGCTATCGAAGGTAGCCCAAGACCGCGAGAGTCCTACGGCTAACCGAGCCACTCCTGTTCTCTCTCACGGACAAGGAGTGACTCCGTGGAAACCCACGGGATAACTCATTGATCCTTATCGATCGATCGAGGAGAATGGAATGGATCGTGAGAGACGAATGGAAGAAACATCGACAAGTAGCTTTGACGCGTCCAATAAAGTGTTATAAATTTCTTAGCCGCAAATTACTCGCGTTGAGAAAGCCAGCGATCTTCTCGACCGCGACAGGCTTCACCTCGCGCAAACGCCGAAGTAGCGCCGGCGTTGGTACAATATTGGTAATATACAATATTGGTACAACGGCAATTGCGCAAGGCTACTATCGATTTTTCATTATTTTTTTTCAAAGGTAGGCGAGAAGTTCGACAGTGCAAATAGTGTTATCGCGATGTCGCACGAGGACAGATGACAGTCTGTCACTTCAACTTCGGCAAATACTTTTCCCTTCTGCTTTTCGGTTTATTGACTCCGTCAGCACGTGCCACGCTAGCCTCGTTTGTTCAAGTGGCGGTGGACAATTAGCGGATAGCTAGAGCGAGATACCGATAAGAGAGTGATTAAAAACGCTCGGCGAAATTAGTTGAATCGTTTTCAAAACGATCGACGTGCGCGCGATCGGCTTCATCGGTTTTATCATTTCTCACGACATGTTTATACTTTGTGAAATCTTGGAAGATGCTCGCAAAAGAGAGAGAGAGAGAGAGAGAGAGAGAGAGAGAGAGGGCAAGAGCGAGGGAACGTGCATCTCGTATAATTAATTCATTAAAGCGCGTTAATTAAACCGCAACGACCTGCCCTCTCGAGAACGGGACGCACAGCGAGAGGTGTAAACGAGGATAATTGTGTCTCACCTAAACGTCATCGTGCTTTTGTAGCGGGCCACCCTACCCGTATAAAATTGGTTGGAATCGATCTTAAGAGCCCTGCCCGAGTGCCGGAGGGATGCTCGGAAACGGGGAACGACTTGACCTTGGCTGGATTCACGCGTAGCTGAGCTAACGCAAAATCGAAACGCGTTACTTCCACCGCGTGGATCTCCTAAAGCCGGGTTCACATCGTGACCTGCAGCGGCTCTCCGGATTCTCGAATACACGCGGCGACTGTAAACGCGACGTGGCGCACGCGCGCGAATTCGCGTCTAGGATTGTCCAGGTGAAAAGCTCGCGAGGAGAGTCTTTCGTCGACTCTCCGTCGGTCATTTTCTCGTCAACGATCGCGACGCAATGAATCGCATGGAACGCGACGAGCTTTTGACATTCGATCGTTTTCAATCGCTAATATCGAAAAATTATTTTTGGCGAAACAACATCCTATCGCCATTCCAATTTAACGCTCACGAAACGTGATGAACCAGTAATGTTTCTCTAAGGTCTCTCTCCCGTTAATTTGCCAAGAGTTTATTCATACCCCATGTATTCCCATGTGCGTGGGAAACACGCACTCTTCATTTGGCTGCCGCGTTTGCAGAGTTCTTCATCGTGTCGCAAAGCTTGTTTTCAGCCGCGACCGCGTTATCTTCGCCAAAGTTCCCGCGAAGACAGCTTGAGCAAACTTTTCGAGTTCTTTATGCGTCACAAATCGCGCCAAGGCTGACCTTCGCGAACCGTTCGCGTTCTGTTTGATCAAACTCGCGTAGTAAGGTATTACACAACCGCGGCTTTGCGCCAAGTCGCGCGCCGAAGATTCGGCAGCGCGTATTTCGCAATGAAATTATCTATATTAATAGATCGGCGCGAACAAGAGGTCAGTGAATATCTCTTTGAACGCGATGATGTATCACTGCTAACTTCGCCGAGCGATGGATCGTCGCGAGACTTTCAATCGTGATCGTCGCTGTTTCAAGGCTTGAAATAAGGGATGCGAGTGTAGAATTGGGATTCAACATTTTATTTCGTTTCAACATAGAATAAGCATCATTAAGTGTGCCGATCTATGTTAAATTCTCCAGCCCATTGTCGTTTTCGTGTCGATGGACGTACGTGAGATTGTTCGCACGTTTTGACCGCGCCGTTATAGTTACTTGGCACTCGCCGTAATCTCTTAATTATAGCAACAGATGCTTTCGCTCTCGAGACGAGCGCTCCGACCCGACACCTTTATATCCTCGTTTCTCGAAACATTCCCTTCGATAAATCAATGTAAAAGCGCTCGCTCCACTTTCTTCGTACTACCCATTACATGCCTCGTTTCGCTCAAAGGCGACGTAAGTCCGGTTTCCAAGTTGCTAGGATCGATAACCACCACGCGTTCGCTTTGTATCCGTATCCGATTCGCATTCATAGCGCTTCGAGAACTGGACCCGCCGTGTACATCGCGCATCTCAAAGTAAACGGCTCGTGTCTTGCACCGTGCGCGTCTCTCCCTCTGTTTCTCTTCTCTGTCTCCCGTCTCATCTCATCGCTAGATATTTCCGTGTGAAACGAGCTTGCGGATCTACGCACCGTCGACAAGGATAGATGCATCCATCTCTCTACCCTCCGTCTGTCCCGTTTCGTCCCGTCCCGTTCTGTCCCGCGAGAAAGACTGTAGGGACACTACGCTACGCTCAGGCAGAGAGAGGGTGAGTCACCCCCGCGCGCGCGCTCTCGGCGTACTCTGGCGTGCATAACACCCACGGTCGCTCGGTCCACGCGTGACTAGATACCGCTTTGCACGCGAAGGGGACAAACGCCAATTATATTTTAATATCCCTCGGCAAGACGGCTTTCGAGCGGCGAAAATTCCGACGACGCGACGAGGCTCTCGCACCCGCCATCCCCGACTCGCCCCCGGTCGAGTCTCGGTCTCGTCAAAGTCAGGAGAAAGAATCGGAAAAAGAATTCGGACTCGAGAGGAAAAACTAGAGAAATAAGAATTATCGGAAATTCCGACGTTCGTGACTCCTCGTTCCTCCTCGTTCGCAATTCGCATTTTGGAAAAATCGAGACAGATCGCCCCGACTTATTTTACAGTGAAATTAAACTGGGGAAAATAATTCAAGAAAATAAAATAATTGCGAAAATATAAAGCTATTATTTGCTTTGAGAACAATTTATTTTTCAGGCGCCCTTTTAAGAGTCTCGCCAATATAAAATTAGGTGAGTCATCGCGAGCTTGAGAAAAGAAGTATCGTGTGTAAATTTGCTCTTGCTCTTTTATCCAACTCGCCAAGATTGTTTCAAGTAGGTGTGAAGATAATATCCGCAGTGTTATCTGCGGATAAGAGATATCAGCCGCGCTACATTCTCAATTAGGATGCAGGAGTGTACCGTAACGGATGATGTTATTTCATCCGTTTGACCATTGTGTTGCGATCCGCCTGTGAAGTTGCCTGCTCAATGCCAATGTTTCTTTTTCCATTTATTATACTCGAACCGCTCTTTCGAATTCGCCAGCTCCTCGATCGTTGCATTATTAATCTCGAACTGGATCCCACAAATACTTGTCACCGCAGCGTTATAGGAATAAAAATTTCCGTCCGAGTTCTTGGGTCGGTTTTTACGAAAATTTCAATTAATTCCTTTATATCGCTCACGCAATTTTTTTAAAGAAATTCTGAGTCATCGACGTCCGAGTGATGAGTACGTTTCAGACGTGCGCGATCTTCAACCCTCCGACTCTGACACCGGACCGAAGAAATGTTCTTTTTCTCTTTTTCTCTATTCTTCTCTCGCGATGTGAATGAAAAGAGGAGCGAGAAACAACGCAACATCGTCGTCTCGTCGTAGAGGTTCATCTCCGTCTGAAGCCGCGCGAGACTCGACTTGTCCCTTTTCCGTGCGGCTCGCGCACGTTGTCGAGTGTGCGCACTGCACGCATAGCACGCGCCCTCCGATGTACCTTCCGCACGGTTGAGCATCTCCACCATTCAGAATCGATGATGTCACGAAGCGGAGCCGGGATCCCCACCGTTTCTCGCGTTTTCCTCGTGGAGAGGGAAGCTGCACCCTCAGCCCATTGGTCCAAATCCAGTCCGACGTACCAACACGAGCCGCGGCCACCACGACGGCACGACCCAACGAGAGTCCGCGAGTCGGTGCGTGCCAGTCCGTGCGTGTGCTTTACCTAATAATATTTCCACGGCTAGTCTCTCCCGCTCCTCTCTTCTTTCGGCCGATACACGCATCTCGCACCCTCTCTCTCTCTCTCTCTCTCTCTCTCTCGCTCTCTCTCTCTCTCTCTCCTCTCGCTCTCTCTCTCTCTCTCCTCCCCCCCTCTCTCCCTCTCTCTCTCTCTCTCTCTCTCTCTGCCTCCCTCTCTTTACGCGTATACACATAGACACATACCTTTCTCTCTTTCGCGCTTACCCTCGTAGGGTTAGGCATCCTCGCGGTAGAAGCTTGCGTCGCGTCGCCACCCTCCTCTCCCGGAGAGATCCGACGGATCTCACGAAAGCGAGAGAGGAGAAGAATCACGCTGCAGAGCAGCACGTGTGCTGCAGTCGCGCGGGTCGACAAGCGCGCGCTTATAGTCATCGGCTCTCATCCGGCGAGGGTCATCGCGCCGATAGTCGATGCGAGTAATAGTTGTTGACCGTGCTCGAGAGACTGTCGCGAGAGCGTCGATCGAGGGGTTGCTTGGCGCGACAGGTTCGTTTAAGCGCGACCGGGCTGCTCGCGAGAGTGAAGGGGTGTCGGGAGAACGAAGTTGCGCGAGCTCGGAGCAATCGGCCGAGTCGGTCCAAGCTTGGCGCATCAACGCAAAACGGAGTGTTCAACCCCCGCGCGAGTGACTGTACGCGCGAGGACAGCACGAGCTCTCGAATAAGTCGTCGGCTCGCGAGTCGCCGGCACTGTGATTGGTAATACGCGAGGTGCGACGAAACAGCGAGATCCGCGAACGGATTCGCAGTGGTGCCTTTGCCGAGCGAGGACGTCGGTGGGAGGACCGACACCGTCGGCCGTCGGCAGTTCTTGGTACGTACAGCCACGTGCTTGACGAGTTTCGGTGTACTTTGCGGGGGCGAAAAGGTGGCTTTGACGGAGACGCGTTTTGCAAAGTTGAAGCACAAAGCCACTCCTTTCGGTTATGTCAGTTGGCGTCCTGTTTCCCACCCTCTTCTATCATGGTTTATCCGTTATAATCCCGAGGGAGGAATAGAAGGAGAACATTCAGTCCCTTGTACGAGATAATATATTTCTTTTTTTGGTTTTGTGCGAGAGGGTTAGTTTATCGCTATATGTCGCTATATGTCGCTCAGCGCGTCGGACAGAAGGGGATGAAAACGACCTCGGACAGATCTTTCGATCAGTTGCCGAATTTCGAGAGAAGTTAAGTTCCCGGTTTCACAGGAGATGAGTTTCTCTTTCGATCCATTTTAAATCACTCGCTCGTCGGAGAAGATCCCTCCATTGTTTATGTCTAGTTCCGCGCTAAAGGTGTGTGTGTGTGTGTATGTGTGTCGCGTGAACGTCGCTGAGTAATTTTCTGTCTTTCCCACAGCGAAGTTATACTCTGCTTCATTCGGCGTCGGCGTCGCATCCTCATTTTGTCTCTTTGTCGGAGAACCAAATTGCCACGAATAGGAACGGGAATGTATTAAGGGATGTTCAGCATTCAAAGTGAGATATCTTAGCTCGATTACGCTCATAGTGCAAATACGCCCGACTAATTGAACATCGCGAACATTAATCGCGCGTTGCAAACAAGCGAGCGAACGTTTGAGGATCCTATTGATTCGTCTTGCCGATTAACATAGTTGGTATCAGGCGAGCGCGCGGGGATGCGAATTGTACGCGCGTAACGCGTATAATGCAAAGCTCCAAGCACGGCAGTTTCTCACCCTCTCTCGCGAAACCTCGTCGTGTCGGAGACGAATGCGATTGAATAGCGCGTCGAATCTCCGCGTGCAAGTCTGCCTGCCTGCCTGCCTGCCTGTCTGTCTGTCTCGTATCAACGCGTTATCGTCATGGTACTCCTCCTCTCATTCGTCTCTTTCCCTCTGTTCTTCCTCCGTGTGTCTCCCACAGTCCTGCTATTATGGTGTAATTAGGCGATAGGCTTTATACGATTTACCGTGTAAAACCCGTCGGAGTGAATGAGCCCGCCCGAAGCGAATGCTGAGCGCACAAGTGTGGACGTCCCGCGGTGACATCCGACGCGCGCATTGTGAACGCTCCTTTCCAGCATCGTGACGGTTCATTGTAAGCGTCTCTCTCTCTCTCTCTCTCTCTCTCGACTGCTCTCCTCTCCTCTCTCCTCCCTTCTCTCCACTTACTTCACGTTGGATGCGAACGCGATTCTTTCTAATCGGGACGAATATATTTGCGGTTGCTAAATAGTCGGTCGTCATCCGAACAAAGTATAGCGTAAAACGTCCAAACTACCCCTCGGATCTCTGAGACAACCCCGTTTGAAAGTTTTGCCAAGAACCTCTTAAAGCCTCTTTTCGATGAGAAAAGCCGAGAGATGTATTTGACATAATTTTCTTTATTTCGAAGGAAATTTATTGTGAATATATCCTCAACTTTTACTGGCGAAGGTGTCACGCTTGGGAGAAAACAGACGCGCGTACACATCGGGTTATGTTTACTTAAAAAATAGAGACGCGAGATGGAAACGTAGAAGGAGATACAACTGTGTGTACAGTGGAAAAAGTATTTAAAGATATGAGAAAGGCTTTTTCTCTCTCTTTCTCTCTCTCTCTCTCTCTCTCTCTCTCTCTCTCTTTCTCAAGTGAGCTGAACGCGTCGTAAGGTCGAGATACTTCAGAGAACAGCATGGAGAAGAACGCGACGCGAGGCGCAGGCAAACGACACGAAAATCCGAGACGGAAAGCTCATAAGTAACGGCGAATTGTTACGAAAGAGCAGAAAATTGGCCGCTAACCTCCTTACTTTGCAGCACAGTGGCGCAATTGCATTGGATTGAATTGTATTATGTTTCGAAGGAAGCCTTCCGTAAGATCTATAACCGTTTAACGCCTCGTTAACTGTTCATTATTAACGTGCCGTTAAACAGGAATAGATCCTATAAACGACTCGCGCGCGCGCGCGTGAATTAACGTTGATCAATGAAATGCCTTTCGACGGTCTACATCTGGAGCGGATTGAGACATTACGGATCGATCGATGTCGAGGTCGAAACGTGTGACGAGGAAAGTATCATTAAGAGCGCGGCTTTCTGTCGCGTACTCATTAAAAAATCGCGGAATTTCTATGAAATTTTGCGTGAGGTGAGTCTCTCTCTCTCTCTCTCTCTCTCTCTTTCTCTCTCTCTCTCTCTCTCTCTCTCTCTCTCTCTCTTATCCACACACTGCAGATAAATATGCAGAGTTGTGAGCAAAGAGATCACGTCGCCGAGCGAAAATCGTGTGTTATATCACTCGACGGTAAATGCGCACATGAACTACATAAAAAAGGTAGAGAGAGAGAGAGAGAGAGAGAGAGATGCGAAAACGACAAAAGAGTAGGTGCCTCGAACGAAAATTAATTAGCACACGTCCGCCGCGTGCGAGCCGTGTTACGATAAAGCGATTTATCTCTCAATCGTCCTCGATTACGCGGAACATCGGCGTATACATCGGCGATAATGCAGATATACGCCGTGGTCCTCGTTCTTCGCCGGCGTAATTAATAATTAATGCACAAACGCGCGCGTGCACGTGCTCACGACGAGTGTAATCGCGGGCGGAAGTCACTTTATACGGTAGCGCGAGCGGTTAATGCCCGCGGGGGTTGGGCGTGTATTACGGGGGCGGATTTCGACGGTGTAGTCGCGGTAGCGACGGCGGTGGGTGCCATTAACAGTGTTTCGCCGGAAATGTAAAGCATAATGCGCCGGCAGCTCGTGGATATGGAACCTATTACCATCCGCGTGTATAATGCCTACCACCATACCCGTCCCCGCCTCGCCCGTCCGTCTCTGCCACCCCCGTGTTGCGCGCGTTGTGTCTCTCGCTGCGCGTTTGCAGAGCGTTCAAGAAGGGTTCAAACTTGTCCCGCGGCATCGTGAGAGAGAGAGAGAGAGAGAGAGAGAGAGAGAGAGAGAGAGAGAGAGGTGGGTGGAGGCGACGGTTCCTGTCCATGTCTCATCCGTGAAAGAGCATCATTTCCGTCGGTTCGCGACAAGGCAAGATTGTCATCGTCGCGACAGCGATAGCGTGTCCGCGGAATTCCGTCGCCACGACCGAATTTTCTCGATTCTCGCCGGTTGCTTTTCTTCCGTGAGAATTGCACGAAATGATCCGATGCATATTAATGATTGGGGTCTCCCAAGTTGTGGTTTTCTTCTACGTTGTCCTTGCTACGATTTCGAGTCAAATTTAACGGGAAATTTCACCTCTCTCTCTCTCTCTCTCTCTCTCTCTCTCTCTCTCTCTCTCTCTCTCTCTCTCTCTCTCTCTCTCTCTCTCTCTATCTTTCTGTCTCTGCAGTTGGACAGTCAAGATATCGGACATTGAAAATGAGGAAGAGAGACTATCCGAGAGGGTGGTATCTCCTCTGAATATTCGTTAAGAAAAGAATATCTTAACGCGATAAGAAACGACGATACGCAGTACATCATTCGTGCTCTTTCGGTACTTGAGCTGAACAATATGCGTACTAAAAAGAAAAGAAGCGCGGGAACTGCTCGAAATGCGGCTGTTCTGATGGCGATTCTGCGCGAAACGGAGTTGGAGTTCGAGTTCGCTAAATCGACAGCTTGGCGTCTTGCAAACAGAAGCGACGTGATCCTGTTTGCGCTCAGTCGGGCATAATCCGAAGTAATCCTCTTGCACAATATGCGAACGCGATGCGCTCTACCTTCGTTCTCGCTCTTACCCTCTCTCTCTCTCTCTCTCTCTCTCTCTCTGTGCCTTTCTTCCTTCCTTCCTTCCTTCCTTCTCATCTGTCTTTTTCTTATTTCTCCTCTATTCCCCTCCCCCCCTTCTCTCTCTCTCTCTCTCTCTCTCTCTCTCTCTCTCTCTCTACACATACACCCACTCATATTTTTTCGCTCTTCGGCTCTTTTCTCTCCTCTAGCTGTATCTCATCTGCCGTGTCGACGTCTTCGCGCGAAAGCGCGTAAAGCGCTTCTCTGTCGCAGCGCAAAGAGCATCGTGGATAATGAAAGGGAAAAAAAGGGGAGCATGTCTCTCTCTCGCGGACGCGTCGGCTGCCTCGTGTTAAATCACGTTGCTCGCGGAAGCGGGACGTCTTATAAACCTTTACATAAATTCGATTTGGCTGAATGAATCTCTCGCGCAAACGTTCCCGCGAAAGAGATCTCCCGGTTGAGCGAAGCGGCGGCTCCCTTTCGCTTTCGCTAACGAGGAGAGAAACGCGTGTTACATCGCGTGTGTCTGAGATATCGTAACTGTCACGAGCGAAAGACGTGGTGATGCACAAATTAAGCCACGTTGCGCGAAATGTGGAAGCGAGTGAGTTTTCGCCGGATTTCACGTTTGCGTTAAACGAGTTCCATTCGGCGTGATTTCAGAGTTGAGAATCTTCTCTCGTTCGGTGACGAGTGACGTAGTTCCCTTGATATTTCATATATAAAGCACGAATGTTCGATATTTATGCTCAACGGAAATCTTTCCGAATCAAGTGGAGCGTCTGCATATACAAAGCTCTCGGAAAAATTTCGCAACAATATTCTATGTTGCACAACGCGAACCACTCACGAGCTAAATTCACAAGCGACGCTCTGTAAATTTTGTAATTTCAGCTACGCGACGAAGTTGATTTTCGCATTCCGCGACTTTATCGAGCTCTCTTCACTTTTTTTGCGGATCGCTCTCCTCGCTGTATCGCTTTTCGTTGTGCGCGTTTCGCCCGTTGGAACGATACAACTCGTACGCTCTCAGGCGACTAACCCTTTCCGACACTAATTATCGCGCTTAACTCCATTTTCATCCCCTCTAGCAGCACGAGCTCGTTTCACCCTCTCTTTTTTTGTCTGCGGTAACGAAAGATACGGAGGGTGTTACGTTTGCGAGGTAGTTCGCATCTTCAACGAGCGCGATCCACGGTAATTAAAACACTTCACGTGTCGTCAATGTTGCGACGTTCAAAACGACTTGATGCGACTCTTGTTTAGGGGTGGTTTACGTTCGCTCGCGTGTACGCTCATACGACGATACAAGCGAGCTCGTTGGCGACGAAAGAGTAGCTGTGAATAATAATTAAGACTCAAACAGGAGGACTGCTGTATTAATTAACAGCCAATTTAAATAACGTCCATTAATCTCACGTTAAAATTGATCAATGTGTGATTCACTTCCCCCGTCGTTGAAATGCAAATTCCGTCAACGTAAACTCGATCTAAAGTCATCCCTCTAACTTCGTCAGCTATTTTTTTTTTTTTTCTTAATAACGCAAAGTTATTCGGCAGTGCGTTACGGCAAGACAGAGAGTTCGTTTTCAGTGATAACGACTCGGCGACGGAGATCGCTCGTGCTTTTATTTGCTGACTGAAGGCGACCACGCGACGCACCCGCAAGCGGCCGCGATATCCAAATGACGCGGATTTACACAGGTGCCGCGGTCGTACGAGCAGTTTTTCGAAATACGCCGGCAAATTGAACGCGACGTTAGCACGCGACGGACGTAACGCGGCCGACTCGTCGTCGTCGAAGTTTCCGCCGAGTGTCTTTGCGACTTGAGGCAAAGAATAGTTCTTCTCAATCGCGTTATTAATTGCTTCTCCGAAAGCTCGTTTCTTAGCGCGTTTTTGGCCGGCGCGGCGCGGCGCTTCGAAAGCCCGTCGTGTCGTGAATAGCTGCAATATTATTGAGCCGACGTCACACGTCGGACGGTCGGTAATCTGTTTGTCGCGAAGAGCGCTTTTCACGCGATTCACACGATTTTCTAACGATATCAATCATTGCGTGTTTCAGTGAACGAAAGTGTTCAAAGGCCCGAAGATTCTGCCTTCGCAGCAGCTGGGCGCTGCGGTCGCTCCATGGCCGGGCGCCACCGGCCTCATAGCTTCAGTCACTGCTGACGACATGGCACACAAAGGTAAGCTGCCTTGTCGCGCACGCAATTGTGCAATCGTCGAGTTTGTGTACGTCCGACCTGCGTACCAGAGACCGTCTTACAAATGTACACACCGCGAGGTAACGCGCGGCAGGCGTCGAAGCGTGCGCGTAACTTCGGGACTTCGAGCGGCACTATCGGATGATGAAAATCGTGAATTAGCGCAAGACTAATTTCACTGGTCGCACGGTTGGTTAATCGCGCAACGAGGGGTATCTCCTCGACCGACGTCGAGGTCTCGATGCCAAAAATACAAATAAAAAATTAAGGAACACGAAATTAGACGAGCTCGATAGAGCGGAACGAGGGAGCAAGTCCGTAACGTCTTCGAGACTGCGACGAGGAAATTGCACGGCGCGCGCGGATCCTTTGCTGCTTCCGAGGTGTATCGGAAGGGCGCGAAGGAACGTCCCTTCTTACGTTCATCGACCATACGTCATTTTCCAATCCGGCATTCCATTACCACGGGCCATCACGAGAACGATTATGGTAAAACCCTTGCGGGGGCGGCGGCGCTCCGTCTAAGGAGCATAAAACTTAACGGCCTCTGGCCGATGGCTACGAAATACCTCGGCGGCGTATAACCACCATACGTGCGACGAATTCTCTTCCCTTTTCCGATTGGTCGCTTTTGCATTAACGACACGGTCGCTCCTCATGCGGCTCGCGTGCACTCCTCCCCCGAGTTCGATCTGCGGGGAGCGACTACGATTTTCCTCGCGCTTTTCTCTCGCGACCCGTTTGACCTCTGCAGCAAGCGAATCGTCGCGAATCACGAGGCGTCTTGGACTCGCGTGAAAATGTCCTCGCGGGAAATTGCAAAACTTGGGAAAATGCGTATCTACCGAAATAATTAATGGGACATTCGAGGTCGCGAGAAAGAACGCTCGTCTCGATTCAGCATTTAGTGGATTAGGAAGGAAATGTGAGGGGTGCTGCACTTTTCCTATTAATTCGCGAGACAGAGGTCTCTCCCCCCGGCGAGCGTATAAACCATGTCCGGAGATATTATGGATAATTCGAATTCGAGTCCCGGTCGAATCGAAACGTCCGAGAATCAAGAGGGAGGCATTCGGTTGATGGCTAAGGCGTTTAACCCCATTAGTCCTGAATGGAATCTCTCGTCTCGCCCTCTTGCTCTCTCTCTCTCTCTCTCTCTCTCTCTCTCTCTCTCTCTCTCTCTCTCTCTCTCTCTTTCTCCTTCTCCTTCTCTTGCACACCCACTCCTTTCGCCCTCTACCCCCCCCCCCCTCTCTCTCTCTCTCTTTCTCTCTCTCTCTCTCTCTCTCTCTCTCTCTCTCTCTTCCTCTAACTTTCTGTCACTGGCGCTTCTCCTTCGCTCTCGCCCGCTCGAGCTCTCTTAACACAAGGGCCCGAAGAGGATGAGCAGACGACGTCTCAAGGCTTTCTAAAGCCGGCAACTTCTGCCTGAAACTGGCTGCTCACTTCACGTATTGATTTCCATTCTCTTACGCCTTCCAACGCTTCTCGCCCGCTCGCCGTGCGTCCTACGTTCCTTCCGCGAGGTCTCTCCTCCCTCTGCTGATCATAATTTCGGTCCTCCGACACCCCGCTGGTCGTTGTAACTGCGCGAAGATTCGTCGAGCTGAGAGAGGAAGGTGGACCAACGTGTCGCGAGCTAACTCGCTTGCTTCCCCTTCTACCGAGAAGCACATCGATGACATTCTTCAACTTTGCGAACGTCGCAGGAGTAAATGTACGCGAGTAGTCGGTCTTCGGATCAACTTGTCGCGTGGAAATTTCCGCAATTTCGAATAGTCGACGATCTCACGCACGGTTTTCACAAAAAAGTATCGAGTTCCGCTTCTCTCTCTCTCTCTCTCTCTCTCTCTCTCTCCCCTCTTTCCTCTGTTTTCGACAAAATGACAGTCTCGCCCGAGTCGAAACTTTGGTTACGTTAAGCCTACAAATTTCGTCCAACTTGGAAGACACTGTACAGGCTATTTATTGTTCTACCTCGACGCGATAAATGGTTCTTTAATGGCACAATCTTTCTCGAGATACTTCCTCGGTCTTTCAAATCCGACGGAATTTGCGGGTTTAATGTAGAACGAAAATTTCGACGACTCGCGGCCTCTGCTTGCAATACGTTTTGCGTAACAATCCGACTGCGTCCGGGATTAGTTCCCCAATCGCGGAAAAAGTTCGCGACACGGATTAAACACCGCGGCGGAATCCACAAGTGAGGAAGCGATCGGAGAATCTGCAGGGTGCTCGAAAATCCGCGAGTTATCTGACCGAGTGCGGCTCAGTGGGGTGTGTAGCGTTAAGTTGGCGTTAGCTCATCGAATCGCCCCGGATAGAGCGGCTCTCTCTGCCGCCGCCGTCTCCTCCGCCACCTCCACCGCCACCGCCGCCGCCGCCGCCGCTGCCGCCGCCACCACCACCACCGCCGTCGCCGCCGCCGCCGCCGCCACCGCCGCCGCCGCCGCTGCCACCTCCGCCAACGTCGTTGCGGTGCCAAGAGACGAAGGTTTGTTTTGATCGATCGCACGTACAAATCGTATTTCCGACCTCGCCTCGCGGGGATGACAAATCCGTCTTTCCTTATTTTCCCGGCGGAGTCGGCCGAGAGCCACGAATTACTCCAATAATGCTCGTCTTGTCTTGTCCTTTTCACGCCCGCTTTGCGCTAATCCGGCCGGGGGGAACTACGTCGAGTAGCAAACGAGGTGCTTATCTTTTTCATTACTTTTCGTCGGCGAGTAAGAGAGAAAGACGAGACGAGAGTAAGTTGTCGCTCGCCTCCCTTCTCCTGTGCGCGCTTTTTCGCGCGCGTCTACTCTCGTTACTTCGGCGAGCTGCGCGAACGCCGCGCGCATAATTGTCGTAGGGCTCTCATAAATTTTTTAGCCGCATATTTGCGGCTGAAACTTTGGCGGAACTGCGAAGCCGACCGGCGACGGTCCCGGTGAGATATCTACGAGACAGTATTTAACAAAGTTTTCACGATCGCGCGGGGTGGGGTTAACGCTTCAAACGTGTTCCGCAACTTTCGAACTAACGATGGTCTCTTAGCCGTAATTCCTGACGAGAGTTCCAAAGTTTGGCAAATCGTCGCGTTTCCGCACATTTGTCCTGCTCCGTCCCGTAAAACGAGGCGGCGCGCCTCCTCGTACTTATCGCGAGTAATCGCGCGAGTAACTTAGCGACCACATTTTCGAAATTACGCCCGCGATTGTGCCCGCCAGTCTCTTCCTGTTTATAACGCAAATAACGCTAGCTCGCACGTGCGTTCTCGCGCGACTTTTGCTTGCGATTATAATTTAATTGAGATGCCGGAGTTACGTATGATTGACTGTTGAAAGAACGATTTGGACGTTTTTCGCGGGCATTAGGAAAATTATGTCGTAAATACGCGTTGAAAATTACTTGCGATACGAAAGTTACAAAATTACAAAATATTGGGGCAAATGAATGAGATAGTAGCCGCGCGAAATGTTTGGATTTTCATGGCAATTATTTTCCTCTCAGCCATAATCGCGCACGATTCGATACACCGGTGTCACACACGCGTCGGTATATCGGTGTCAGAGCCTCGGCCGAATTTTCCGCCGGGAAATCCACTTGGTGACTTTTCGCCGAGCAGGTGGCGGGGGCGGAACGTCTCCCGAAGAAACCCGGAAGTTTGGCAAATCGTTCGACCTCCGCTTTACCGCGTGGAGTCGACTGTCAGCACGACATCTCGCCGACGAATCAACCCCCTCGTGCGGAGCCGCTTTTACGCGTAAGGGACGACACGACGGTGAAGGGTGGCGGTCGCGCGCGCGCGCGCGCGCGCGCGGGGGTGGCGGGGTGGCGAAATAAGAATAAGAAAGGATAGCGCCCGGCTCTTTTCTACTCTCTCGTTCTTTCTCTCGACGGGCGCGAGAGACGAGTCAAGGTGAGAGAGAAAGAGAGAGAAACAAAAAGAGAGCGCGGAAGAGAAGGAAGTATAGAGCAGGCGAAGGAAGAGGAGGCGTAGATGGAGGAGAAGGAGAAGCATTGATCGTTTCTGAATTCCGAGTAGATGGCAACCCCCGGGCGGTTCTTCACCCTCCGGCCTTTCTCCCTCGGAGCTTCAATATATACGTACTCGTCTTTCGTACGTTACCGCGGCGAAAGAGGAAGAGCAAAAATATGAAAACGCCAGAGAGAGCACAGGGGAAGAAGGCGATCGACGATGAGAGAGAGAGAGAGAGAGAGGAGGGAGGGAGAGGAAGAGAGAAAGAGAGAGAGCGAGAAAGAGAGAGAGAGAGAGAGAGAGAGAGAGAGAGAGAAGGAAAGAAAGCGCGAGGGTCGTGTCTCGGGGTGCGCTCTTTAAAACGGTTCTTGTGCTCGTCCGAAACAGATAGAACTTGTGCGCTTTTGATCCTGCCGCTTTCGCCTCGTCGACGACGGGCACATGCACCGCTCTTCTTCAATTAATTCGCCGTTCCCACGCGAGAAGAAACGATGTTTCTTCCGTTTGGCTGGAGCGTAAAATCGTCAAGAAACATCGCGCGGTCTTTATTCACCGCAAAGTTTGAACGCAAAGAAAGTCAAATGCGGTGTTTCGAATCGCGGAAGAATCATTTTCCGCAGCTGCGACAGACGTTTGGCGCGTCGCGCCTTCGTTTACGCGCGCGCGATAATTAACTTATCTCGCAACTACTCGCTAATGCACGCATCGCGCATTTACGATCCTCCGCGCCCTTCCCGGAGTACCGGATACTCCTCCGCTACAACGTCGTCATGGTCCTCGTCGTTGTCGTTTCCACTTGTGTCGCGGCGCTGGGAAACGCTGAAGATACGCGTTATTCCGGACGAACGAAACTTTCCTTCTGCCTCCGCCACCCGCCGCCCGTGGCGGAACCTCGGAGAGGGCGAGCGGATAGCCGCCGCCGCCGCCGGCTTTTACGGCTATCTATCGGAGCATTTCGTACGTGAACTGGATACGTGGTGGATTTTTCCCGGGTGCTCCGGCTCCGAGCGGCTTGCGC